CCTTGATATGCCTCCCTAGTGTTCTCATGCCATCTTGGGGACTTTTTATATCTACTCTCCAGCTGGCCCCTCAGATCCCACTCCATTCTCCCCTGCTCCGAGGCCACGCTACACTCCACAACCAAAGGAACTGTCCTAGACCACATTCCCAGACATGCCTGTCTCTGCTCATGATGTCTGCCTGTTGACCAAATTAAATCCTAGAACCTTCGCTGTCCTACTGCCTGTACTGCTCCCTCATTATAATAACCAGGATTTATTCGAGGGTTCTAACAGACCCCGGGGTTAAGTGTTTTGATGACTTTAAATCAGTAAATCTTTCAACACTAAAAGCACAACTATTATCCTCCCTTTACATGCAAGGAAATGGAGGCTTTGGATCCTCAAGTCACACAGGTGGTAAAAATGGCAGATCTAGGAGGCAAGCCCAGCTAGTCTGACTGCGGAGGCCATAGACCTACACGCACCATGTGCTCAGCCAAACCGACTACTGCCATTGCCAGGACTCTCCTTGCATCTCCCCACCTCTGTGCCTTCCCTTTGGTTGGTGCCTCTCCCTCAGGAAGCCTGGGCACTCGGCAACGATGGTTCTGGAACCCTGGAAGAATTGCAAGGAGGCACTTGCCTTGGTGTCGTCCACAGGAGAGACAAAGAAGATGGAATATATCTGCCTGTTCCCTCTTGCCTCCTGTTTTCCACTGGTCAAGTTCATGGTGGATCTAGTTGGGATGCTTCTATGGCTTTCTATACAGTGCCCCACAGCCCAGGAAGAAGAGCAGTGCCTAGGACTGGCGAGAGCTGGAAGAGTACAGTCGGAAGGGGTAGGCTGCAGGCCTGGGCTACATGGGGAAGTAGGGGGAGAGGAGAGAGTGCTGGTGTGGGAGGCCTGGGAGAGAAAGGAGGTCACACCCTCCCAGAGCAGATGAGGTGGGTTGATCAGAGAGGGGGCTGAGAGTTAGAGATTTTAGGGGTGACTCAGTTGTGACAGCCAGATAATGGGGTCCAAGGTGTGACCTGGCAGGCTGCTGTCCTGGAGAAGGTTAGAGTGATCGGGGGCACCGACAGAGCGGGAACAGACAGAAGAACCCCACCTGTCAGTAGTTTGTTTAGTTTGTTCCTCAAGACCCTTATACTGTGGTAATGACACCTGTTGACTAGTTCAACCCTCCCCCCTAGAACCTACAGCCCCAGAAAAAGCTACCAGTCCCCAGGGCTTGAGGCTCTAGGAGAGCTAGGCCTCCTGCTTCTCATGGGTGGTGACAGCAGGGAGTTTCCCTGCTGTCAGGGCAACTGTCAGTTAGAGAAGGAACCCCCTAACTAGTTAGAGACCCTGTGGGCTTAGAGATGGTCACCCAGGATACTAACTTGACCACTTCTTGGGGTTCTCAAATTCAGCTTATATTTTTTTAAACAATATACTTATGTACTATTGAATTATCAGCCCAAAAATATGTTATCTTGGCAATATAACAAGAAGGAAATGTAAATAGAGAAAAGTGTCATTTAACTGTTGGAATTCAGATGATCCAGGAAATAGCGTCTAGCTTCAGTTTTAAATATTCAGACAAAAGGAATCCTAGCAGGTCCCAAATCTAACTGAATGTATTTGGGCTTCTAATAGCAATATCTTTAAGAGCTAAAGATGTTATAAACACATCTCATTGGGATGAAAATGGTCATAGAATTCTTTATGCTATTCAGACAAAAGGTATTACATAAAGAGGGTATACAACATATTATCTACCAACGATGCAAAAGTAATAACCACACAAAAAATTAAAGCCTCATGATAATCACTTGTGCACTCGCAAAGCACTTTCCTTCATCAGAGCTCAAAACATGTTTCACAGAACAAAACACACACCAACACACACATGCACATGCACATGTGAAACCGAGGAAATCCAAATATAGCGAGGGACTATCAATGTCATTATCACGGCTGTGGTATCGTGTTCTAGTTCTGCACGATGTCACCATTGGGGGAGCAGGGCAAAGGGTGCGTGGGACTTCTCAGAACCTTTCTATATTATTTCTTTTTTTATTTTTAAGATTTTATTTATTTACTTATTTGACAGTGAGAAAGAGAGAGAGAGAGATTGAGAGCACAAGAAGGAGGAGGAGTAGGCAGAGGGAGGAACAGGCTCCCACTGAGCAGGGAGTCTGACTCAGGGCTCAATCCCAGGACTCCGGGATTGTGACCTGAGCCAAAGGCAGCCGCTTAACCAACTGAGCCACCCAGGGGCCCCACACTCTATATTATTTCTTACAACTGCATATGAATCTACAGTGATCTCAAAATAAAAAGTTTAAAATAAACCACTTCACTCTCTCATTTCCTATTTCATTTCTGCACAGCTCCTCAATGCAAACATAGAAGAAGTATGAGTCGAGAAATAAACAGGATGATTATTTCACATTGCACTCTGGAGAAAACAATTTCTGTTTAGACCTGGAAACCAGTGGACCGGCCTTAACTGACCAAAAAAAGTGGATTTCAGCCCTGAAAGTCTCAGTGAAATCATTCTTTCCTGGCGTTTTCTAAATTCACAGCCAGAGACTGTTAAAATGAACAATGTGTCAATCACAGTTTTCTTAACATTTTATTCTTAAAAATTTCAGCTTCCTTGAGGTATAAATGACTTATAATTTTTTTTAACATTTCAGTGCCACAGTTTTTATTGAAACTTTTCAATTTTTTAAAGGATTTTCCTTATTTATTAGAGAGAGAGAGAGAGAGAGGGAGCACGCAGAAGCAGGGGAAGGGGCAGAGGGAGAAGCAGACTGAGCAGGGAGCCGGATGCAGGACTTGATCCTGGGACTCCAGATCAGGACCTGAGTCAAAGGCAGATGCTTAAACAACTGAGCCACCCAGGCACCCTGAAACTTTTCCATTTTTAAACTATGTTTGATGATGAGAGTTCAAACTCAAATTAAGAGGAGGAATTTTTGGCATGACAGCAGTGTTCAAAGCAGCTCATTTTCCATCAGGAGTGGAGACCCCCTGACTCCCTCCCGCCCCCTCCCCCACCTCCTGCTGCTGCTCCAGGCTGCACACTGTTTCTGTCTCCCACATCCTTTAAGCTGCAGGGACCAAGCCCCCAGCCAACTGTGACTGACCACTCCACGCTCCACCTCCTATTTCTGCCTGGCTCCCACATTAAGGCTCTGCCAGGCTTTGCACTAAGTGGCTTAAGGGCTTAAGAAGCCACGTGTACCAGCTGGTCTCCCAGAACAGCTCCTGACAGAGCGACCAGCAGGTCCCCAGCCAGGACCCACCCTGAGGTGCTGAGAAGTTTCAAGGAAAGCTCATCCCAAAGGGGAGAGCATCATTTCATGTCCCCAAGCGCTTGGTACAGGAGTCCTACACCAACACGCAGTCCTTACTTTCAAGGACTTTACTGAGAAAGATTATTGCTCTATGGGAAGATCTAGAAGATGCTCCAGAGCGCCTCCTTTTTTTATTTTTCTTTTTTCCTAAAGATTTTATTTATTTATTTGACAGACAGAGATCACAAGTAGGCAGAGAGGCAGGCAGAGAGAGGAGAAGCAGGCTCCCTGCTGAGCAGAGAGCCCGATGTGGGGCTCGATCCCAGGACCCCAAGATCGTTACCTGAGCCGAAGGCAGAGGCTTAACCCACTGATCCACCCAGGCGCCCTGATTGTTTTGTTTTTTTTTTTTCCACCATGTATTATACTTTTTGTTTATTTGGGTCACAGAGAGGAGAACCCTGAAAAGAGGAGAATGGGAATGCTCAGCTAAATGGAATGGTAAGCCCCTGAGAACAGAGCTCTTGTCCCTCTTGCTCACCTTTGGGTGTCTTCAATACCAGCACGGTAGCTGGAACATAGAGATATTCAAGAAGTATTTGTTGAATAAGTAAACAGAGGAATGTGGGCTTGAGCACGTGATACTTGAGGTCCCGAGATCACAATATGGAACCCTTATGATCCAGGAGGCCTTTCCATAGACAGTCAGCCCCAGCCTCCTGCCCGTTATTTCTGGGTGTGCCCCCGGCTCTGCCATCCCCCTGTGCTTAGGACAGAGCCCCCTCATGCTCCCCCGCTCCCACTGTCTCAAAAGACCCGTGCTGCCCCAGCTGCGGGAACCCTTCCTTCGGGAGAGTATGGTTTTGCCATCCTCCCCACTGCTGCCACTCTGGGGTGAGGCAGGCTCCCCTGATTCTGTGACACCCATCTCAGTGCCCTGAGGCTCAAAACCTGTCACATGGCCTGGCTAAGGGTCAGTCTCCTCCATCTCTCTCACTTCCCTGTCACTCTATATTTCTCCCTCTCCACGCCAACAAATGCCTTCCTTTCCCATCAGCCAGAGCCAAAGTTGCTCCTGCAAATCACCTTCCGCAAATGGGTACATGTGGGGGTCACCAGCCTCCCAGATCTCACAGTCCTATCCAGGAAACAGCGCTGGGCTCAGGGCCTGGGGTCCAAGGTCAAGCCTCACACCTTTCTCTCAACCGCTTTGTAATGTGAGCGAAATCACGGGAGCTCCATAGCCTCCGTTTCTGGGTCTGCAAAATAAAATAGGTTTTAGCAGTCTATGGTACCATGAGATTTATGAGAGAGAAGGGTCTTGAACAAGAAGCACAGGAAGGAAACCTAGTTGTGGGAAATGAGCCGTTAGCCAGGAAAGGCATGGGAGGGAGTGTTCCTCTGGGCGGGCATAGGGAGGAAAACAGCCCACCCAGAAGCTACAGGGGCCACTCATGCAGCAAGTGAAGAGGTAATAGACGCCTCGTAGGGTAGGTTCACCTCTCAGGTTCCAGGAGCTTCGGCAGGTGGGAGAGCAGATGTGGCTCTTTTGTGCAGTCATACAGGACGGCTGGCCACACTGCAGATTTTTTTCCTTTTATTGCTTATGCTTTGGGTTGTCGTATCTAAGAATCCATTGCCAAATCCAAGGTCATGAAGATATTCTCCTGTTTTCTTTTAGGAGTTTTATAGTTTTAGGTCTTACGGCCTCAAGCCGTTTGGAGTTAATTCTTACACAGAGTGCTGGTAATGGGAACACGTCCTTCTTTCCTTCTTCTGTCTGCAGTTCTCCTGTCATCCCAGCTGTTGAGGAGGGGGAGAGACCTTGAGGCAACAATACATTGTGTCACTTCAATGTCCTTTGATCCAGGGCTGGGAGAACCAGAGTAGAGTGTTTCAGGAAAAGATCCTCAGGGTGTGAGCTTATCAGAGAGTGCCCCCAGGGTGCTTGCCATAATGCACCGAGGAAACAAAGCCTGCTCTTCACTCAGCCAGAACAGCTGGGCGGACACCTGCAGCTGAGGGTGGGGGTAGCCACAGAGAACAGGTGGCTTTGGGGCAGCAACAAGGTCAAAGGCATGGAAGCTTGAGCAGGGGGGCGGCAGGGCAGGGGCGGGGTGGGGGGCGCTCGGAGCCCAGGAGGGTAGCACAGGGGAGCCCGTGAAAGATCCTCCGCTCTGTGCAGGTTTTATCCAGAGGGGCCTCTGTGAGAAGAAAGGATTTTGAGGACAGGAGTTTCAACATTTCCATTGGTGGGCCCTTGGAGCCAAAAACTATTTTTGTTACTTTTTGCCTGTCCTCCCCCAGGATGGCACAGCTTGGAAAAGCAAGAGTTACAATTAATTTCCCTTTTCAAAATGTGGTTCAAAAAAGAACATTCTGTTTCCAGGACCCCCGGCTTTCTGTGAGAAATTCTATACCAGCATTCAAAATTAAGCCACATTTGCCAGAATGTAAATTTCTTTCAATGGCTATTTTTTTTTTAAGTGACTGCTTATGTCTCTAGCACAGAAAAAAAGAAAAAGGGAGGAGTAATTTATCTGAAAAATAGCGGTTTTATTTTGGGGAAGGAATTTCAGAGAGAACCTATGCAGTTCTGTAATATGAATCTATTTTAAATTTTTCAAACGTCAAAAATACAGTTTACATTTGCTGCTGCAAATTCGGTGAACGTTTTTCATTATGCACGAAGCAGAAAATTTGGAATTAAATGTACAGCAATGTTCCGACAAATGAAGAAAACCCCTCCCCCAGGCCATCCCTTGACATAACTGGGACAATCCAATATAATAACCCTCTAAAAGGATTAATTCTGCCTAAAACCAGCTCCTGAAAAAAACCACATGGCACTGTCTGAAACATTCTTGATAATGTGCACGTCTTTATTACATTTGCAATCCATGAGCCGGGTGCTGACTCTGGGAACATTCTATGACAATACTGAATGAGGGAGTCTTTACCTTCAGAATCATAGGAAAACCTCACTAATAGTTGAAACAGACAAAATAAAAGAGTAATAAGGTTCCATTTTGCTTCTATTAAATTAATAAAATACTTAAAACATATTCGTTGCTAGAGGTGGTGTGGTAAATCTGGTCCACACATACATTGCTGTTGGCAATGCAAAACAGCAATTCCAGGCAAATCTATTCCAAATTTTCAGAGGATTCAGTGATTTGCATCATCCAAAAGGAGGACAATGTTTTACACTTGTTTAATACAAAACTAATATAAGAATGTTTATAAGCTGGCAGCCTCCTAAATATCTAGGAGGGGTGATTGGTAGTTAGGGAAAATATATCGTACCCACTTAATGAATATACAGGCCCAGCTGAGATATGCAAATAATGCAGTGTTATGAGGCACAAGCAGTTCTGTCATGGGGGGAGGGACAGAATTGTAAACCCAGTTCCTTGTTATTGGAAGTTGCATTAACGTCGCCATGCTTTTTTTTTCTCTTAATAAAAATTTTTATTTTTATTTCTAAAAATAAATTATAAAATAATTGTTTATAAAAATTGCAGGCAAGATTCTTTTCCTTTTAGTTATTTGTAAGAGGATACAAAACGGAAAGTATACAGTATCTCATTTTTTTCAACCTTTTTATCTATGCATGGCTTGACTTGGCTAGACTGGTCTGTGATGTCTTCCACACACTACTGAGTGACACCTACGCATGAGGCCAAGGGGAAAAATTCTCAGGGCATGAAGGCATTCATTGGAAAATGCTTAAGGAGAGCACCAGGAAGAATAGATTCATCCTGAAGGAAGCGGGGCTGGGCAACAGGGTACCACTTCTGGGGCGTCATTCACATTGTCTTCTCTGTAAGTGGGGTGCGCCCAACAGCATACAGCCCGGTGGTGCTTTATGACGCCCAGTACCTGCTGAGCCCCTCCTGGAGTAGAGGGGCTTTGGCCTGCCATCAGCATTCTCCACTTCTTCCTTGCAGAGTTCCCGGTAATAAACAACAGAACCAACTCGAGCTAGTTTAAGCCAGAAAGGAGGTGATTAGGGACAGACGGAGCTCACGGAATCCCAAGGGAGACTAGAATATCAAGCTTGAAAGCTACGTAACCTGGGACAGTACCCAAATTACACCACCACACTGCTCCAGTGGAGACGTGCAGCCATTGCCACCTGTACCATGGCTGCCGTGCGCAGAATGTCACCACACAGTTGTCTCCGAAAACCACACCGTCTTTCTGCGGTGTTCCTCCACCTTCCCTGGAAAAGGGATTCTGCCTGCCATCTAACTCCGTACTTTCCTCTCTTCTGAACTGAAGTCTTGCACAGGTGTGTCTAATTAGTGGCGTCCAGGCAACACACCTGCACCCAAATATACCCGCCTACTGGTGAGTTTTGCTTCTGTCCTGGCTCTCCAGGACTCATAATGTGGGAAATTTGTCGAAATATGACAAATATGACAAATGCCCACACAACGTTACCCAACTTTGACCAGATGGACCAAAAAAAAAAAAAAAAAAATTTGATTACGCCAGTTAATGGAAATTCCATTTTCCTTGATGCAAAAGAGGCATGTGACCCAATTCTGACCAACAAGGCATGAAGAGACATCTGCTGAGGGACTTCTGAGAAAGATTTCTCAGCTCTTAAAAAGAGACGCAAGGGCACAATAATCCCCTTGTTCTGCTTCTGGATAGTGGTATGTGGGGATTTGAAGCCTGGAGCTGCCGTAGGCATCTAGTAACTGACACATTTAAAATGGCAAGGCAGAAAGATGGAATTAATCTTAAATTCTTGACAGCATTACTTAGCTACTGACTCAACCAACCCATCTGATCTTGTTACGTGAAAATAATACTTTTCTGGATTATTTAAGTCAATAGAATTGAGGTTTTCTTTACAGCCCACAGGGCCCTGATCTACCTACTCTGTCTGGTGTTGCAAGGATGACTGAGATAAACAGGAACACAGGAATGACCATCTTTGGGGGCTGAAGGAGCCTGACGTTAAATTAGTGAAAATGAAGTGGATGGGTAACATGGGGCCATATTCAGAGTCCCTTCTAAACAGCTTGCCCTCTCAGAAGTTGGCCCAGTCTCCACACCCCTTCTACAACAGCACCCTATTTCCTTTTGTGGCATTTCATTTCCTCCACTATGTTCAGTAATTGGAAACAACCTGCCCTACCACTGAGAAGGCTGAAGAAGTTTTTGGAAGTTCTTTCTGGCAGAAACTTCCCATCACTCCCCCCGTACAACCAGCAGCAAGCTCAAGACCTAAGCTCAGTCCATTACACTCTTTCCCTCAAGACTTTACATCTCCAACGAAGTGACTTGAGGACAGAAGATAGCAGTGAGTGTTCATGTATTCCAGAAAACTCCCACTCTAGCCCTACTACCTGGCCAGGTCAGCTGAGTTGTTCTGGACGCCTGGTTGCCCAAAGTTGCCCTGGAGGAAGATCTGTCCTGTTTCTAAAACCACCATGTTCCCAGGGAACAGAGATTTCAAAACTCCCGGTAGCCCGGCCAGAGACATTCCAGTGTGAAAGCTCCCACACTTGAAGAAAATCTAAATTAGAACCTTGTGAAAAGTCAGTCCTACAACTGCACCTCTTTCTCTAAGGATTGTTCAGTGAATTTTTATGGAAATATTCTTTATACATGGAATCGATCCATTTCTTCTTCTTACCCTCACCCCAAATTGAGGGTTTTTAAATTATGACATTAAAAGGCTGGTATAAAACAGGCTGCTAAACTTAAATTCATCTAGAAGTTTTTGCGAATCAAGTGTTCATGAAACATTTATGTTTACAAATTTCAGAGAATATTGGCATCCCAGATTTTTGCTTGTTGGGGACCTGACAATTACTTGAAATATTTTTAAAAGTATTTAATTCCAGGAACTCTAATGAGCACCATGTGACATATGAGGGCAAGAGAATAAATATTGAGTATGTGGAGGAAAAAGAAAAAAAAAACATTTCATTTCTTCATTTGGAACTTTTTACTTTACATAATCATTTTTAAATTGTGGTAAAATACACTTAACATAAAATTTAACATCCTAGCCATTTTTCAGTGTACAGTTTAGTGGAATTTTGTAATAAAAATTAGACAATTTAATGTTTGGGGTTTATCAAATATATTCTCGTATAGTTTGAAGACCTGCGAATTTTCTAATAAAATCAGATTCTTGAATCTGTTCTCTGACGAAATGTTAGTTATAAGCTCAGTACATTTTCTTTCAGGGTTCTAGCCCTCAAAGGACGGCCTCTTTTCTATTTCTGAACATTGAAAAAATGAAGATGATCCAATAAATAAAGAAAAACACATTCCTGATGAAAGCCACTTAATTTCTCATTTTTAACCTCCAGCTAATCAAATATACTAGATCATGTTCAGTGGATCTTGCTATATTTGAAAGGAATTATATATCAATTATTATATTTTTAAAACTTTGTTATGGAAAGCAAACAGAACAGTATCATGAACCCCCATGTACCCAAGCCCCAGCTTCAACAATTGCTAATATTCTGCCATTATGGTTTCATCTGTTTCTTCAAACAACCCCCCACCCTCGCCTTGCCAAAGACACCAAATTATTATAAATTTTGCTGTTGGTTCTTTTAGGTAACCTCTACATTAATGTGCACGAATGTCAACAGTGTGATTTTGACAAATAGATACTCTCACATAACCCGCACGCCTGTCACAATGTAGAACACTTTCATCTCCCCCAGAAAGTTCCCTCATGTCTCCTCCTAGTTACTCAGAGACAGCCACCAGCTTGATTTTTCACTTTTGGTTATTTTTGTCTGGTCTAGAACTTCACATAAATGAAACCATACTCCTGTGACTCT